TGAGAAACACTGGCCTAAATGATGCTACTGCTCTCTGTTCATTAAGCCATGCTGGATTCTGGAAAAGAAAAAGGGCCATTCCTAGAGAGGGTTGGATTTGCTTAACATGGTCCCCAACATAATGGTCCCCTTTCCCCACCTGGTATCTTCCCATTACAATGGGGCTGTAAGTCCCAGAACTGCCCAGTCAGCTAGCAGGGAATTCTAAGAGCTGCAGATCCAGCTCTTCCAGAGTGTGCCCCTTGAGGAAGTCTGCAGTGGTCGTCTTCAGGTATACATGATTCTAAGCGAACAGCAGGAAGATATTAAGAGCCTCTGCTCGATGCTGCTTTTGAATCATGGCAGCCTCTCACCAATCTGCATTCATTGCTTTTAATTGATTACGCCAAATCTGTGGGCTGAATTTGCTATCCGCCAGAAGATCGTGTATTGTTATCGCGTGTGTGCATTGCATCCAAAGTCCTCTCCCCCCCCCCGCAAATGCTTGAAAAACTTTGTTTTCAGTGTTCATCTTCTCTCCGAACAACTGAATCAGTGCTGATCGTAACTCTGGCCCATCAGAGCTGAACTGGCATGGTTTTCCATGAGTAACCCCACCCAGGAAAGTCTCTGGATTGAAAATCTCTGCAGACTTTAAGCCTTCTCCTCCCTACTTGGCACAAACCTCCAGTGGAAACATTTAGCCATCCATGGCCTCCCTAATCTGCTCATCTAGGAGAGGAGAGGAGAATTTCCAGCATAAGACACTTAAGTACACGCTTCTATCCTTTGTGCAGATTAGCAAGCAAGCAATCTTGCCGATGCATCTGAGTCTAGGAACTCAGGGAGACGGTCAGCCATCCGAGGAGGTGGTTTTTATTTTAATCTTTTTTCCATCCTTGCAGTGACTCTTACTTTTTTCCCCTCCCTGAACAAACCTTAAACAGAGCCTCTGTAAGGGAGAGAAAATATTCAGAGTAAGCCAAACCACCAACTCCTTTCCCCATTTTCCCCTGAGTGATGCTGAACAATGAGAATAACTATTTTCCAGCCATATTGGCCAGCAGCTTTTCTTTCTGCTGGCATCATGTGCCTGCTTTATTGAGCCATAAAAATATTTATAATAGATATGTATATAAAAATACCTTCCCTTCCCCCCCTCCCCCCGGTGGGCTGAAACAGAGACCCACAGCTTGTCTGGCCATATGTTTTTAAATCTTTTCCTGTTGCATGCAGTTTATAGCAGCCTCCTTTCTATGAAATCAGAATTTCTGCTGATAAATATTTTAGTTTGAGGGTTTTTTAACAAAAACTTTATACCCAACAAAATGATTTTTTCCTTTCTTTGCTGATTTAAATTGAAGTGACCACATTGTTTCAAAACTAATGGCAAAGGTGTTGTAAAAATTATTTGTTCTATAGTATACACAAAGGTGCCAAAATACATATAGTTAATTTAAAAAATAGACAATTGTTAAGATTACTTTAGCTGTGGTTTTACCTTTATTGATCTTTCAGATGCTCATTTTTATCTGTCCATGAATGCCCCTATTTCTATGTGTATAATGTGTGTTCCTGTCTCAATTTCTCCAAAACACAGCATTTGTCCTTCCCTTTCTCTTCAAAACATAATGATTTTTTTTTTTGTTTTGTGGATTGGAAAATACCACTTTTACTTTTAGTGACTTCATATATTCGAAAGAGCATCTCCTCCCCCCCCCCACCATTTAAAACTATAAGAGTACAGCAGCATTCAAAAATGTAATATACTTTTTGTATAAACACATTCTTTGGAAAGAATACCTTTGGAATTGGGGGGAGGGAGGGAACAGACAGCAGTGGGAGGGGAAAAATAACCCTGTTTCTTTTAAGAAGCCACTTCAGTAGGCTATTTAAGATTGTGCTTGTTTATTGCATAGAAGTGTTCTATTTACACAGGTCTGCAAACAGGACATGTCAGCATTAATTCCTTCAATGCAAACAAAATACCAAACCCGAACAATTTCAAATGCTTCATAAGTAAGTGGATGGGTACAGAGAGTCTCTTTGGTAAATAATGTAAATACATGTCCTTTAAAAAGAGTGAGTCTGTTATCTAGGTATTTTGTGTCATTTAATAAATAATAAACAGTTTTGTGTTGCTAAACTCTTCCTTTGGCCATGTGTGGTATGGAAAGTGCTTGTGTTTGTCCACAATATGTCTTGGCATATCACTCTCAAGTCGGTGGAGTTGGGAGACACCCCCCCTTAAAAAAAAAAACCACCACCATTGGGCTGGTTCAACTGCTTTACCAAGTTAGAATTTTGCCATTCACCAACATGGAAGTAACCATCTTTTGGCATAAATGAAAAGCAGTAGGCAAGAAGTAGCTGAGTTGGCAGGTTGTGAATAACAAGTTTCTTAATTAGTGTTGTCTTGCAAATTCCCTTTCCTTCATCTCCTGCTATGGGAATGTCTGTGCCAGCCAGTGTTGTAATGCTGAGGGCAGTTCCAGGGCTGGGAGAAAGCAGTCTGGCTCTTTTAATGACCTTGATGCTTCTTTTTTTCCAGTTCTGCTAGGCCAGCTATTGGAGTCATTTTTTTTTTCAGTTTGCTCTGAGAACAAGGGCTTCTGCATAGTGTGAAAAAGTTGGTGGATTGATTCAGTTACAGCTGATTTCTCCCAAGGTTGGGGGCAGGAGAGATACCTTTCTAATCTTCAACTCTCAAGTGATAGAATCAAGTGATACAACCTGGCTTGCTTTTATGTGACCATTTCTCAGGTTTCTGTAGGGCACAGAATCTGATGAAGTCCATGCCTGAATTCACGGGCCAAGCCATCATCAGTTTGTTTAGCTTTAGTAAACTCTGTAAGGCCAGCTCGGGTGGTTTATACTCTGTGAGTCAGCAGTTAAAGCCCTCAAGTTTTAGGCCTTATCTCAGCACCACTTCCAGGCTGCCTCCGCTGCTGAACTTGGCCCATACAATTAAGATTCCTGCTCCTCAAATTTCAGAAGCTCACAGCTACTTGTATAAGTGGGTTTCCTCGTAGAAATACTTGGCAGCTGTTTGTTTTCTTTTTTTACATCATAACTTGTTCAACCCAGATGTCGTGAATCAAATCACTGGTCCACACAATACACTACACTAAAACCACATGATGTAATTTCAGAAATGATGGAAATCACTTTAACCATGAGAAGAGCCCCACCCCAATCAGCCTCCTCTTAATCATCAGGTGGACCACCAAACCTATAACAGCTTTCCCAATGTGGGCACCCTCCAGACTTTGTTCCTCAGCCACAGTCCTGTCTATTTGGGAATACAAGGTGTTGAAATCCACTCATCTGGAAGGTGCCCACATGTGGAAAGGACAATCTACCTGTTAACTCCTGTTTGAATCGCTTTCTGTTAAACCATTGTGCCACCGTCTGTCCCGAAAGGACAGCAACAGCTGGTCTTTGTGACTCAGGTGGCACTGAGCACTGAGATCACAGAGTGCAGCAAACAGAAATGAAATGGCAAGGGTGCTTTCTTCTCAAGAAGATCCAACTCACCCGATCACCCTCGGATTCTGATGTTGGTTTTCATTAGGAGAAAACGGGGCCGGGCCTAACAGGGGCTGCACATTCCAGAAGACAGAGACTTATTCTGGTTAACTGAGGCTTGTTTGTATAATCCATAGCGGCTCAATAGCATAATCACTGTAGATTATTATTATTAAATTAAATTTGTATGCTGCCTGGCTGTCAATAACTTGACATTACAATGCTCCAAAAGGGGAATTCCCTTTCCTTTACCAAGACTATTAGCAATTTCCAATATTCCTAGCAACATATGAAATGCAGCGGCCCGAAGTCCCCAACCCTTGGAGCGGGATCAGGGCTTGCACAAAACGCCCTGCAACGCGTCTGGTTCGCGGGATGCAGGTCGCGCTCCTCCAACTCCCCATTCCCATCCTGGGGGGCGAGGGGGGCTTATCGCAGGCTCCAAATTTGGAAAGGCAGAGGCAGATCTGCAAACCTTCCCGAGTCCAAGGCGGCCAGGCCCGTTTAGGCACATCGGTGCGTTTACGTGCGCTTAAAAAAGCGCATCGGTGCCAATCTGCCCATTATGCCAACGTGACACGCTCCAGCTCCTTTATTTGCAATTATTACAAGGCTGCACGTGACTCCCGGGGAGCCTGAGCTCAGCACTATCCCGGGCCCGGAGAGCAGGTTTTAATTGTTTGGTTGACTGCCGCCGCCCCCTCCAGAAACCAGGCCCCGCTTCCCCCCAGCGCCGCAAGGCGCCGCCGCTTCGCAGGACGGGCTCAGGCCGAGCCGCCTTCGGCTT